TTAGGAAGCTTCTTTATAGCAGCTTAGCACAATTTTCTTCTAAGGTACATAAATTAAAGAATCAGTAGCACTGAATGTGCTCTTGCTGAATTTTCAGCTTAGTACGCTGCTGAACATAAATAAGGGATACTTCCAGGATGCAGCATATGAACTTAAACTCCATGCAAAAGTAAAAATTATTGTGCTGTTTTAACAGAAAATAAATGCAATACGTGATACACTGCACAAAATTCTCAGAAAAAGCAAACCAAACAACAACAGAATGGCACCAGCTGTTACTCTGAATAATTTAAGATATAATTGTAGCATAACCAAAGGGTTTTTTCAAGACAAAATTATTTGAATTTCATGAACATGACATATTTGAAACAGGGCTGACAAGCAGTCTAGAATACTAGATGATGGATTGCTGAGAAACGTAATTTTCACTTTAATAGAAAGATGGCGTGCACATAATTCTATCCCCCAATGCTTTGCTGTAACAGCGAATTTAGTCCAAAACTACAGCCTTGAGAATCCAAATACAAATCCATCACCATAACTGGAACGAGTACTTTTGAAAGGTAAGGATTCTCTCTGCATATTAATTTGTACAGAAATATACAGGACTCCGCATGTACTCTGGCCAGCATGCGGCCCAGCAAAATGCCTGCTCTTGGTCCAGATGAAGTCAAAGGCAAGGTTTTCTTTGAATTCAGTTAGGGCACAAAAAGGCCAGTAAGTATCAAAATGGTACTTTATTAAAATGGCGTGCACACTTTCTGGTAGTGCCAGTTAATCCCATCCATTTCAGATGAAAATAAGTAACACAAGTTTAGCATTCTGCATTTACTAATGAATGTCCTCCTATACACACATTTTGCTTATCCCTATAAAAAACCCTAACATGTGAAAAGTGGAATAGCATTTCTTCCAGAAAAGACAACCATAAATTAATATATTCGACATTCTCTGGCTTTTCCAAAGGAAAAAAAAAAAAAAAAAACAAACCAAAAAACCAAACCAAAAAATCCAAACCAAAAATACCGACCTATTTTTTTCTGACAGAAAGAAAAAAAAAAAAAGATACCAAACTCTTTTTTTAGGTGAATGATGAAAAGGAAACAGAATTTGTCCTTTGATACATCTGTCAGCAAAAGCTTTTTCATCTAAATTGCATTTGCAGGGGAAAATCCCGTTTATGACTTAGCTGTTTCCAGAATTCACAATTTAAAGTTTGAAGCCTGAAAAACTTTGACTAGTAAAAATGTATAAGCCTTTTAAACTTCTGCATTTTATTCTAATAGAATTTAAGTGTGTATCGTATACATTCTTTAAGTCTACTCTTATTAAGTTTTGATGTTAACCAGAAAGGGAAAAACATGTGCAACTAGATTAATTTATCTCCAGGGAGTAAGGACACATTAATAATTGAGATAATGTTTTCATATATGTTGGAATCAAGTGTGTCTTTTCACTTCTTTATTAGAAAACACATTAGGGGAAAATTATCTCATTCTCATCAGTAAGACCTAATTGCTGAGAAAGTCTCTGTTTTCTTTGCAATAACAAAGGCATTGTTCTTATTATTTCAAAATGAAAAAAAAAAAAAGAAACAAAAAGATCAGAAATATTATCAAGCAGCGCTGGAATAAATGCCTGTAGTACCAAAGAGTGTGTTTACTTAATACACCCAGTCCTGTTATTGTTTTAAGCAAATCAGAGTTTATTGCATTTTCATAAAATACAGGCAAACTCTGGATTGAACAGAAGTGGGCCAAAGGGGCAAAGAAGAACCATAACTAAAAAAATTACAAATATTTTTGGCTTTCTGAAGGGCTGATCTTTCTGTAAGTTATAAAAAAAATTATCTTGGCTGATTGTAAGAGAACTCTATAATTTCCCATGAACACCCATAGGTGTCAAGGCCTGTTGTGAGGTAATGGAATGGTATGTAATTTACTCTGAATCACTGTATATTATGCTGTATGGATTACATACAAAGCAAACACCGAGTGCATGGTGGGAACACTTGTGCAGACAGACTAAAGCATATTTCCACAGCGTTGAACTACACATCAAACGCAGTGCTCCTGATGTTTCCCACAACAAAGGGAATAAAAAAGACGCCAAATCAGTAACAATGCTTAAAAGTCTTTGCAATAGCCCTTCTATCTGGTGTACACAGAGAACCGCATATGAAAACAAGAATCTATCAACTTTGCAGTGCTGAGAGAAAAAAATATTAGAATGCGATTTATGGTCCTAAGGAAAAAGAAGTTCTCTCTAGGTCTGTCAAGATCTAATGTTGAATAACCGATCTGCGGTCACACTTGTACTGGCAGCTATCATGAAAAGATCACTGGAAGAGAATTGTCTAAAAAAAAAAGCCTCAACTTTACAAAGGGACAATGATGAAATATTCCTTTAACATTTACAGTGATTTAACAGACACTTCTATACCATAAAGAATAAAAGAATACAGGCTATTCAGACACATACTTTCAATTGCTTATATTTATTTTCATAGATCAGCTTTATAAAATCACACACACTTTCTGATTATTTTCTTTTCCTATACTTTTTCTTTATTCAACATCAGTTCGATAGATAAGGCATACCAAATTGAAAGCCAAAACTAATGAGAAACAGCTAAAACTTTTACCTAGAGCTTACAGTATGTGATTCTTTGCAAACAATTTTTGCTATTAACATAAATAATCCTAGACCATGAGCTGCCCACAATACCTTCTAAAAAAACCCAAATTTAGTAATTATTTTAAGGTAATGCACTTAAAATACACATACTCGTTTTTCTAGTCAACAGGCAATCTGTGTTGTGTGTTAAGAACAGAAGAGGAAATCTGCACAGAAACTCAGCTGACACCTATCAGTGGTCTGAACCTGGCACACACATCAGTACTATTTCTTCTTTGTACATATTTTTTTTTTCTTGCTCCCCAACAATCTTCCTTCTTTTACTGCCTTAAAACAGCTTTTAAATTCATCTGAGATTAGACTAAAAAAATCTTGCCTTTTTATAAAGATATCAACATTTGCAACTTAACTGTGTAAAACTGATCTATAACTTAGGAAAAAAAAAAAAGAAAAAATTAAGGATAATGTAAAATTCTCTAACTCCATTATTCTTGCTAAATTTCAGTGTTTTATGTAACTTGATGATCTGGCAAGCCTATTTAATTATTTTATATTTTGTTAATTAGCATAATCTGAACCACAGAATCCCTCCTAACGAAAATAAATCCTCCAACACCATTATATAGTGTTCCATAGAAGAAATATTTTATTAACAACACATTTCAAATGTTCTCATTATAATCAAGGGGCTTTGGTAGGAACAAATTTAAGTCTGATTTATTTATGTCTTCTATACAAGAGAAATTCCATCTCCAGTGAAGGCAGCAACAAAGCTCCCAATGATTACAATTCATCCAGTTTTACTGAGTACATTTAAGTGTGTTCTGAGACTGATCTTTTATGCCTTAATGTGAAAATCTTCTTTCCACAATGACTTTTTTGGGTAAATAGTTTCAGACAAAGACTCTGATGGGTTATATACTGTTTGCTTGCATACAGAAAACGCATAGGAGAAGTCTATGCAAAAATAGAATTTAATTATTAAAAGAGGTGATCAGTCCCAAAGAGCTGACAAATATTCACAGGTTTTCTGTGAACAACTGCTGTATACAATATACTGGCTCCACAACACCAAATATCTGCTAAAAATCCATTCACTTCTACAGTATACCCACTGAAGTCAATAAAAACACTTTCTGAATCTTAATGGACTCCTTGCCAGGTTTCTGACCAGCAAGAACATCTGCTTTTATTCTGAAGATATGTATTTGGTCTAGATGAGTAAATATCACCTGCAGATCTACAAGCACTCCCTTGCTGACTCTCTGTAATAGTTAGTCTTGAGGTGAGCAGAAGCTGCAGCTACAGAGGACTAAGCATAACTAAAAAATTACACCTTCCTGCACAAAGCAGAGAAGTAAGTGTCAAAAGACTAGGTAAACAATAGGCTGTTTCTGCAAATAAGGACTGACACACAGTTGGATTATATACATTCTCTATTATTAGATCTGTGTGTGTAAAGTGAGCATACGTTGTCTTTCTAAATTAACTAATCACAAGATGCTCTTGTTAGCATATGCGTACAAACTGTACTTTACTTAAGCAAAAGCTCCAGTGTTTCACTGGAGAAAATGTGAATGGTCATAAGCAGTAACTGGCATGGACATCCCTTTACGGCCAAAGGGATAAAAAATGGGTTTATGATCTGTTCTGACAAACCACAGTCACCATCACAAAATAAAAGTATCATCGGCAGAATGTTTTCATATCAATTATCACTGTTATACTCTCTAACACTGTGACAAGTATATTTAAAAAACCCATGTTTTCAGAGAGCAGAAAGTGGCTTTTACATAAAAGCACGGAAAACATCATTAGGGAAGTGCACAGTCAGTGCAGGACAGGAGTTGAACTGAATTTTGAACAAGCACTAACACCTTCACTGTGTGAACAGCAGGGGTGCAGAACAGGCTTCTGAGCTTGTTTTGGCAGCTTTTGTGGGCTGTCCATAGGCCATAGGGATGGTGCAATATGTCATCTCTACCCACACATACTACTCAACCTAAGATGATACAGTCAGTATTGCGACCTGAGAGTTCTGCCAGCTCTTGTTACACAGGTCAAAAGGTAAAGAGCACTATGTGCTGTAACCTTCAGAATTCTCTGACCATGTCTCTCTAATCCAACATTACAGCTTCATCTTCAGATGGAGCTCTATGTGCCGCTGTTTTTTAATGACCACCTCTAGGGCAGCAAGACTTTTGCTTGTACTGGCTGCATTTTCGAATCTGCTGTGTTGGGTTACTTAAATCGTGTTGTTCTTTTTAACGTCTAGTGAGCAGTGCTAGTTGTTACATACAATTACATTCAATGTCTACTTCAAAACAATCAAATTTGACAAGGAAAGAAAGCTGATAACTTACTTCCCAGAGATGCTGAGTGTTCCTGATGGAACCTGCTTGAACCTTCTCTGGCAAGAGCAGGACTCCCTGGAAGGGCCCAATCCATGTGCCTTGCTGGATCCGCTGAGCTGCACAGATGCCGTAGGCCAGGCCAGGCACAGTGCTGGTGCACAGGCACACCTCCCGAGGCAGGTCCCGGAGCCACTCTGGGATCTCTGGTGGAGGGGCTGCTGCAGCAGCACTGCTGGTGCCCACCAGGCGCCGCAGGGAGTGGAGGGGCCCATGCATGGGGCACTCGCCGTTGCGGTTATCAGCACACATGTCACATCCTGTGAGACAAAGAAGGGAAAACACCATCAGTATGGTGCTGCTGGCCACCACCTCCATCACTACCATGTGCAAGATCATGCAGATCCCTCTACTTTTCCTATCACTTCATGACAGCTCAGTGCTCAGACACACTGTGCCCCTCTGATGTTGCTTACGACAGTTTTCCTAACCTCATCAAAGCCCTGAATAAGAGATCCCAAGGGCTGAGCAGTAAGCCTGAAGACATTTTGCAAGCCTGGTGCATTCACAGACCTTACAATATTAATTTAACACATTTTTTTACGATTAATCTTCTGACTAACATAAATAGACTATTTAAACCATCCCAGTGTGTTTTCGTGAGCCATTTTAAAACACAGTCATAATGCCTTACAAGCCCCCTTCATTTGCCTTACCACAGCTCAGCCCAGTGGTTTCATTGAAACAAGATTTAATTTCATCCTTATTTTAAATGAATGTTCACTCTACTTTTGCATTAACATGTGTGTGCTTGTCTGTTCAGAAAATAAAATAAAATAAAATAAATAAAACAGAGCCTCATGAATGACAAATCGGAGAGTGGGCAGACATTTGCTTTCCTATACCCATATCTAATCTTTAAATTAAATCATTACTGGTTCCTAGCATACTTTTGAAAATTTTGTATTGCTTGGGAATGCATGTTTTTTTGCCTGTTACATGTAGCTGACTCTAGGAACAAAAACAGCATGTCTGATTTTGTGAGCAGCTCCCACAAAAAAAGACACGTCTGTAAAGATGTTAATTTCCCTATCTGCTCTTAATAATGGATTATGTTTCTCTATTTTGGGAAGATCCTACTGTGGTTTGTTTTTTTTTTTTTTTTTCTGAGCAAAAGAAAGGTTGGTTAAAAGTTTCCACTGCACTTTACTGCACGTGCCATGAATGTACAAGTTCCAGGAAAATGTTTCACACTCAAGAGATCCATTTCTCTGGAGGTATGTTAACACAGCAATAAATATATTGATATAAGTTACCATCTTCAGCGCATTTCACTTCTGTAGCACAGTTAAGGTTTGTTTTCATACAAATTTATTCCAGAAATATGAAGGAAAACCAATAACTATGCCATAGTACTCATGTAGAAAGTCCTAGATCTTTCCACTAATAATTTCATGCCATCTACAGTGATTCTTGCAAAACTAAAGCACAGTATTCAGTATAGAAGCTGAAGCTTCTTGTTCTAAGCCACAGATTCAGACTTGCTAGACTGCCTGCAACCACAATTTCAATTCTCAGGAGTACTGACTCAGCTGTTCTTCCTTCCAAGATGGATATACTCTGTATTATGTAGACCCGTTTCCTAGAGAGCCTTCAGAGGAAAACCTTCCTCTCCATTCAGTAAAAGCTGCTAAAGGATAACTAAAGCTGTGTCTTCAAAATATGGCCTCTGTTTGCATTTTCCAATTTTAGAAACACTTTAAAAGCAGCGTTTCTTATCATCCTGTTCTAAATTGTACTTTAAAAAAATTAGGCATTCAGCAATATGGAAATACTCAAAAGTTACACGTGGAAGCTAATTTCCCTTAAAATCATTATACCTTCGAGTCTTGCATGTGTTCTTGCTTGGAGATCATCTGTTCAAGTTTTCTACGTCTAACATCAATTACAGATCTTAGCAGAAAGCAAGTAAGGCCCAAGTTGGGCTTCATTCTGCTGGGTGACCCTGCAGAAGAAGGCCTGACTATGGTACTTGCAAGGGCAGGAAAGTAGTGGTGAGTCTGATTCTTGTGGCAGGGCAAAGTTTCCTAGTGGGGACCCTCATAGTGGCCAAAAAATGCCTTTTAGATGGGGAGTTTAAGGTCTTAACAATATAATCTCTCTAACAAAATGAGGTGTTCTGCTCTCTCAGCCATGTCAACTAGAGGTGGCCAAGGGTGAGATTTGCAGTATACCAGGGAAGAGGTTTCTGGCTAGTCCTGAGAAAAAATATACAGCAGATATTCCTACAGCCATTCCCGGGCAGCAAGTACGTGCCAGGGTTTTGTTGTTGTTGTTATTTCCACAGCTAATTTGGAAAGTGAGGTATCACCACATCTTTCCTCTTTGAAACCTGTCATCAAGAAATGCTGTGGTTTTGGCTTATCCAAAGATCTCAGGGGCTTCACTGGATTTTGGCACTGGAGATCCTACAGAAAGGTACTCAAATAGGAAAAAAGATTAAAAAAAAACCCAAGCACAAACAGGTTGGCATGTGAGTACATTTTAAACAAATCTGGCATCTTACCATGTATCATCTGACAGGAAAACTGAGGGCTTAAAGAAAGCACATCTAACCATGATATCAACTAGCACACAGTGCAGGCCATTGAACCTGACCTCTTTGTACTCTTTGACCATCTTCTGGATGCATAATTCTCATCAGAACTATCTGATTATCTTATGGTTTTCTTGGAGACACTGTGTCTCTCTAGTAGCTTCCATTACACATGCTAAGGCTTCTTCACAACTCCAATCAGGCAATTTCAGTGTCAATTTCCTGCATCGTGCTACCAGAACACACATAACTTTTCATGCACACAACTTTTAGTACCTGCTTAGAACAAGGATTTCTTCACTTTGTCCTGACAATATGTGTGATGAGTAGAAATATATTAATATACAAATTTTATAGAAATAAATTTTTCTTTTTTATTTTATAGAAATAAAACGTTTTATTTTAACCTTTTCAAGGAAAAGAAATTAAGAAATTGCTGAGGAGTGTAAACAAATACTGTGTCATTGTCATTTATCCCTACAGAAAGTCACACATGTGATATTTATTTTCCACTATCCAAAACCACTGGTAATGTCCTAATGCTTGGCAGTCACAGTATCTGATCTCCTGCTGTGTTCCTTTCCCTTTGTCCTGCCAAAGCTGAAAATTTGGAAAATAGGACATCTTCTGAAACTGTTTTGGCTTACAGCTTGTTGAAGAGGGAAGGACTCTGTCTTTAATACTAAGCAGTACTGAAATTCTTCTTAGTTGCATGCTTCATATATCTATTTTTAGATTTTATGTAATTGTACAAATATTTTTTTTTAATTCTCATAAATATTATAAGAGGTGGAAGACCTACTGATGTATTTTACCATGCCTTGAGTAAAAAGTTACTATGAGTCTTTTCCTCTCCAGTGACTAACTTCTGTGTAATGATACGTGGAAGGCTTTGACCCAAAGCACACTTTCAGTAATGTTAAGTTACCCATCTAAAGACTATCGCTGTAAGTAGTGGATTCCTCTGCCTCAGAGAGGACTAGGGAAGGAAGTCCTTAATCAGGTAAGGGAAAAAAGGGAGAACTTCAAGACCTGCACACTACCCTGCCTCACAGAAAGGGTCAACAACATCATCTTTATGGGTACTGCAATGCAGGATGTGGTTCAGTGCATCAACTTGCTAACAATATGTGGAAAAGAAGAGGGTTTTGCTGTATTCCAGTGGCATCACTAAAGTCTCTAACTGTATGGCAACCTTTAAGACCTACATAGGTGCTGGAAAGGACAAGGTAGGACAAGTGTGGGCTTTCCAGAGAACTGCCACAGAGGTCAATGAGGTGTACTGTGCCCTTCCTCCTCTTTTGATCTCAGAGAGCAGCTGTGTGAGTACAGGCCTCCTCCAAGGACTTCTGAAATTAGTACTTCCACTGGCGGTAATACAGCACCAGCCAAGCCACAAATCAAGACAAGAAAAAGCAAGAAATGTGAGAAAATTGAGGGATTTACTGAAAATGGAAAAAATAAGGGGGACTGTCACCAGAATAGAGTGTCTCCTGATAAAGTTAGGAGACATAGAAGGTAAGGTCAGTAGGAATGCTCCACTGCAGGCCCAGATGCAGCCAGACTCTTTGGAAATGGATCGGTTTCTCGCTTTGTACCTTCACTCTCTATATATGGGAGAAAGAAGCAAGGAAAAAAACATAAAATTTTCCTAGTGGAGCTGTTTGGTATAGCTCTTTGGGGAGGAATACAATATGTTATCGTTTATTTGCCTCCATAAAAATGAACACAGTGCAACACCAGCACTATAACTCCATGTGAATACACTCAAAAGTACTAAACCAAAGCAAAAGGGAAAGCACACATCATTGCCCCCAAAATATAATTGTAAACACTCTCCAACCTAAATAATGCTACTACTGCATATTTAAAGGAATCTGAAAGGAGAAAGGTTTTTCCGTGAAAGGCAGGGCCCAACGTATTGTTTTAACCAGCAAACCAGCTGTAACAATAAACGGAAGAAATGCATTTTTGTCTCAGCAATAATATGCTTCAGAGGTGCAGTTATACTGGTTACCTGCAGCTTGCTGGTATTAAAGAAGGGTGGCCTCTGACCTTTTGCTTCATAACTCACTGCAAGCATACAGGTATTCGGTGTAAGTGCCCATCATTTCACACAGTATTACTCACTTGCAAGTATAAATCACTGCGGCTGGCCCGCCATCCCTGGCTGGCTCCCGGGACGCAGCTAAGAGAGAGGGTGGGCTGGGTGAGAAAGTTCCCTTTCATTTATCGAGGGCTGGAGCTTTCATAAGGACCACGGGTCCCTCGTGCCTCAGTTTCCTCATTGGCGAGATATTACCAGACACTTTCTGCAGAATTAACAGCAGCTTCTCACAGACTGCCTGCATAGAGGCTGGCTTTCGAGGGAGGAAGACGATACACAGATGCGTTTTTTCCCTCGGGTCCCTTTTACTTATTTTTTTTTTAATTGATCCGCGGGACTCGCTGCGGATGGTGGGTCCGAGGGGCCGGGCCTCGGTGGCGGCAGGGAGCACCACGGCCCGGCCCTGCCCGATCCCCCCTTCCTCGGTTTTTTGCCCGTCCATCAGACTGCAGCTCCCCGCTGCCAGCCCGAGCCGTGATCCCGCCTAGGCGCAAGAGCCGCGACGGGGTCCAGTTCGGTCCCCCCGGCCGGGGTCAGGAACACGCTGCGACAGCTGCATCGATCACCGGTGTGCGAGGGGCGGCCTCGGCGCCCCGGGCCGGGACGGGGCATGAGGGCTTGAGGGGACCGTCTCGCCTGTGGAGCGGGTTTCGGGTTAATTTTGCGCGGCGGGCTGGGGGCTGTTTGGAGGAGGCGGGTTTGATTTTCCCTGCCTTCGACTGAAGGTATGGATGAATTAAATTTCCCTGTCAGGTATGAGAAGGGTAGGAGAATATTGTGTGTAGATAAACCTTGCCACCCCCTACCCCTGAGAGACCCCCATATACAATGTAGAGATGATGAATAGGCTCTGGGAGAGGAGATCGAAGTTCAGTCTGCACCGGCTCCACTCTATCCTACAGAACTATAGGGCAATTAATTGCGGCTTGTCCCCTCATCCTTCATCTCCTGGTGGCACATATCGATGGAGATTACTGCTGATGGACCATTTTATCACCCTAAATAAACAGTCACCACCTTCTCTAACCTCAATCTAATGTATGGTTATCTGCTATGTTTAAGGGTGCTGGGTAACTAATGACGTAAAATACCTAAATCATACAGGTTACCAGCAGTCTAGAGAGAAAAAAAAAAAAAAATCCGAATATTCCCCACACCGATCCACTTCACAGCGTGTTATACATACAGTGTCTCCCTGTAAATTGAATGGGAAGAGGCGTGCAAACTGCTTCCTTGCGTGATACTTCAGTTTTACACAGCATATTTATTACAGCGGCAGGTTGGCGCTTCCCGATGAAGGTAGAGGAGTCGCGGGCTCCTCATCGTGAAAGCGTCTCCCCAGCAGGGAGGGGCAAACCCAAAACCCCCCACTGGATCAAGCCAGAGCCGCACCCCTCAAACTCACCCAAGGAGATATCCCCTCGCCGCACCAGCGCCCCAGCGCCCCTCCCCCAGCGCCCAGGAATACCCTCATCCTTCCAGATTCAGCAGCCAGGAAGAGAACGGTCCCCAGCCGCCTGCCACATTATCAGGGCTTTAACATAATCCTCTTTACTTCCCTGGAAGTACTACAGGGCCCTAATTAGGGGTTTGTTTCTTGCTGCTTGTTTTTATTTTTCCCCTAACTAAATCACTTTCAATTTAAAACAATTACATACAGACACTTAACCCGCAGCTCCTTGGCCCCCTCCCTCGCCCAAGACTGTGCCGTACTCATTGATATTTGACGATCGAGGCGTGCGTCTATGGGGAAACCGCCGCCCATCCATCTTCCCACGGCGGCCGCACGGCGCCGGGCCGGGCCGGGCGCGGGGAGCGGGGCCTACGGCGGGGGGGCAGCCCGGAACAACACCGCCCCACGGGCTCTCCCGGCGAGGAGGTACCACCGCTGCCGCCCGCCCGGCTCCCGCTGCCCCTGGACGCGCCGAGTGAGCCCGGCGGGTGGGTCCCGCCTCAGGGAATACGGTTTGCCCCGGAGAAGAAGATGGAAGCTCGGCGCTGGGGGTCATGTGGGAAAGAAGAGAGAACGGGGCATTCTCTTGGCTTGCGAAGGTGGTACATTTGCAATTACCCGAGGAGTAGGCAGCAGCCAGGGGCCCGCCGCCAACCCCAAACCGGCAGTGGGGCAGGGACTGCGCCAGATCGGTCTCCTTGGCGGTCATGGGCCAGACTGGGGAGAGTGCCCATGCGCCCGCACCCGGCCCGTCCGCTCCGCAGTGTCGGTGGGACGGCTCGGGGCTGGAAGTGCAGCTGGCGAGTGTAACTCGAAAGCGATCGCTTCTCACCTCACCCGCAACCCCGACTACCTGGCCCTCAAATGGGCACCTCCGAGTCGAGATGGCTGAAAATCGCACCTGGCCCGGACCCCCTGCGTGACTCCCGGGTAATCGCGGAGCCGCGAAGGGGTGGCCATGCCGGTGCTCTGCAGCCTTTGAGCAAAGGAGTGAGGGGGGTATGGGGGCACGGCACGGACCGCTATTCCCACGCTTCTTTTTCACGTACAGCCGGCTTTTTCTCTTTCAGACTAGCTGCCCAAAGTAAACGCACCCGGTCCCAGAAGCTTGAGACACTTGCATTAGAAGTTTTGCTCAGAAACAGCTAATAACCGCTGGAGCAAAAGCCGCCTGTAAACGAGTTCAATGGTAAGACTGTTTAGATCTCGCTGCAGAAGAAACAAGGGGGCCCGTACTGCCAGCAGCGTGCCTGTCCTTCAGACGGCGAACGCTGTCCCGGTCCTCTCTGACGCCGTTCACAAAGGTCCCTTCTGCTTTCTCGCAACCAAACTTTTAATACCGCACTGGGCAAGAAACTACGCCAGGGTCTCCTGCGACTCTGCGGCTTGCTATCATTCCCCTCACTTCTTGAAAACACAACGCCCACGTCACTTTTGTATCTTTCTTTCTCTTTTAAAAACCTTTATCTTGCAGGTTTACAGCGCTTCTCCGAAAAGTAAAACATGCATGTCTGAACGGTTCTGTTGGCGATTAATTTCAGATTCCATTAAGTGCATGTAATTTATGAGATCAAGTTTTCTGCACCCGAGAGTAGAAAATACACTAACACGCTTCACTAAACGGTGCAACTAGGTACGAGGAAGTAGCTAAAAACAAAGCCCGTCTCCAATATAGAAAGATTTATAACGTTAAGAAGGCAGAAAAATCGCCACCATAACTCAGAGTCAACTTTCTTTTCACTCTCTTAAGACATACGCAAAGTGATTAAGACTATGATAGCATCCACGCAGTTTGATTAGTACGCAGTAGAGTTTCATGGAAACTTTCAAAACAAACTCTGCATCTAAAATAAAATTAAACGAATCAGCGTTTTTCTCGGGCATGTGCTCAAGGGTCTCTGGTTTGAGGTACCGTTTGTCTGCTCAACAGCCGTCCTCAAACAGACATTTCAGGGAGGTGAAGAGAGGAGGACAACAAAAAAACAGAGTTTTAAGAAACCTTGGGATAAAAGGGGGTGTTTGAAGCAGTGGTTAAAAGTGCATAAGCTGAAGCCATGCTTCAGTGTTTTAACGGGGACAGATCGGTGTGCTCTGAACGTTAGCAATAAATCTGAAGAATTAATATATGTATCTAGTTATTTTCACCCCGTGAAGTTCGTCGGTTGCGTAGTATCAACAGATACAGGAACAAAAAGTCAGAACCAACTTCTAAAACTGCTAACCTCTAGTCGATATAGATGTTTAATAATAGGGGTGTCTCCCCCCAAAAAAAAAAAGAAACACACCCTCCCCATAACGCTATAATTCGCAACAGCAGTATTAAACGTTTTCTAACCGCCAAGTCCTAAATGAGTTCTTGCACTCAGGCAGACGACTTTTTTTCTTTTCTTTTTTTTTTTTTGCCCCCCCCCCCCGAAAACCAGCTTTTCTTATTAAATGACCATGTCTTGCTTTTCCGTAGGGTGAAAACTAAAACTGGAGAGGTGTTAACAAGGTCTGAAAGGCAAAGTCCCCGATTAGAGGGAGGAAAACTTTGCCCTAGTCTATCTGATGAAAGCTGCAACTTTTCCCCTGCCCAGCTCGGAGCAGTAATTGATTTCTGGGTGTTCAGCGAAGGCCAGGCTTTCCAGGCAGCAGCAGAGTGCAACAAGCAAGGCAAAAAAGGACAAGCGTTTTCACAAGTCGCTCTGAACCATTTATGAATTCACTTTCCTAAGCAGTCCTCCGAGAGAAACCCACCCCAGAGCCACCTTCCCCGGGAAGTGTACCTTTCCAGGGAAAGACCTCGGTCTCAGGCAGTAACAGCTATTACCGAGGGGCTACCGCCCGCCTCCCGAAACCGCTGGGAACCACGCAAAAGCAGCTCAGGGGAGGGGAGGGCCCGGCGGAAGACACTTCTCACGCTAAGAGCGGTTGCGGTACCGACTGCGGACCTCCAGCCTGGAGCGCTCCTGGGCTGCCCCGGCTCAGGGAGAGGCGGAGGGCGGCGGTCGGGGACTGCGGGAAAGGGCATGATACGTACGATTGTTGGGGTCACTGGTGTGCTGATTCAAGGGGATGATCTCCATGCGCTGCTGCCCGTACAGGTAGTAGTCCAGCTCCTCGGCCGTGCACCGGAACCGGACCGCAGCGCGCTCGCCGCATTTGCTGCCGGCGCTGCCGGCCCCGCACACATCCTTGCCCTGTAGGGGAGCGGGCGCTCCCCCGGCCGGGGGCTCGGAGCTCTGCAGGGGCCCGAAGACTGGGAGCTGGGTAACAGGCAGCGAGGTCAGGCCGGCCAGGGAAGCGGCCTCCGCGGCGACGCAGGAGGAGATGGAGGAGGAAGACAGAGTGGACGAGGAAGAAGAGGAGGAGGCGGAGGAGAGGGAGGCCGGGCGCTGGCGGAGGCTGTCAGCCGAGGGCTCGGTTCTCTCGGGCGGCTGGAGCTGAACGAGGGTCCCACTGCTTTTGAGCTGGCTGCTCTGCGGGAAAAGCTGCTGCCAGTGCTGCAGGTAGGCGGGATCCACCTTCAGGAACGCAGAGCCGCCGGGGTCCCCGGGCTTCAGCATCGCGCTTTCTGCGGAGCAGAGAGGAAGGGGACAGCGGACGTGAGGTCCCCGCCCCGCCTCGGCCGGGCCGAGCCCGCGCCGATCTCCGTGCTAGGGCACGCCGGCAGCACGGGATCGGCGGCGGGACCGTCCCCGCTTCCCGGCCCGTGCAGGGCTCGGTAGGCGAAAGCCTTGGCCTGAAAAGCCCCCGGGGCGGAGAGGCGGAAGACGCGGCAGGGCTTTCCCCCGCCGCCGCCCGGGGCATGGCAGGACGGCTGCAGTCAGCCTTTCCCTTTCACTCCCTTCTCTCCGCCCGCGGAATCAAACGACTCTGAAAGTTGACAACAGGGAGGAGGAAACTTCATCCCCACGCACACAAGCGAGCCTTTTCCCTCTGCGTTCCACAGCAGCGCTTGCAGGAGGAGGGCGCGGCCCGGCAGCGCCCTGCCGCTGCCGGGATACACCAGCCGTGGCCCGGCTGTACCGAGCTGTGCCGAGCGGGGCAGAGGCCCTGCCTGGTTGCCCCGGCCCGAAGCTGCCTTACCTGAGAGTGTACGGAGGAGCGGTGCTGGGCGGCAGGCGTGCGTCGCTGCAGGCAGTAGCAGGAGCCTTCCAGTGGGAGGAGGGCTGAAAGGAGAGACTCTCCTGGTCTTTGTCCGCGGGGAAGCGGGGTGACTCTCCCCCGGGTGCCGGGACCGGCTAGCTAAGCGCCGCCGGCCTCCCTCTGTCGTGGCTGCGCATCGCAGTCGCGCCGGGCTCCTGCCTCGGCTCTGGCAGACTCCAGGAGAGACACGTGGGTTTTACGACAGCGCAAAATACAAGTGTGTGTGGTGTGCACGGGAGGGAGGGGATGGACCGGGAAGTTACCAGCGAGCCTGAATGCAGTGCCCTATTTTTGGCAACTTCCCCCACTTTGTTCCTTGCTCAACTTTTAAAGGTATCCCTTTCTTTCCTTCCCTCCTCCTTCCTTCCCTCCCCCTCTCCCTCCCCTTCTCTTTCTCACTCCCTCTGTCCGCCGTCCGTCCCTCCCTCCCTCTCTCTCTCCCTCTCTTTCCTTCCCTCCTCAGCTCCCAGAGCACAGGGCCCCGGGAAGAACCGGGCTTTTAACCCGGCAGAAGGTCCGCAGCTCCGGGTCGGAGCTCCCTGCCCAAGCCAGAAGCTGCTCGCACCCTGCCAGGCCCCCGGGAGCCGGAGCTTCGCCTCACTGGCCGCTTGCCCCTCTGGGGCTAACGTGGATTTCAGAGACCTCCCCGGCCCGTTTCGCGGTCCTGGTGCTGTCCCACCTACTTCACTTAACTCGTAACTCCTGGGATAAACTTGCCTCCCGCTCCCCTTGGCTTCCCGACACCTTCCCCAGGAGGTCCCAACACAGGTGAGGGTACTCACCTCCCTAGAACTTCTCCCTCCTCAGACCTTATCCCCTCGAGCGCCAGCACGCTTCCCTCCTCTCCGTCGTCTGTTACACCACAGAGCGAGAAGGGCAACCTGTGGCGAGAAACTTCTCATCTCTAGCGACTTTTTCTTTCCACTTTGCTTTAAAACAGGCGTTTTCCTCCCCGCTGCTCAATTGCTGAGCTCACTTATCAGTGAGTATTTTTTCCAGTTTCTTTCCTCCACTGTAAGAAAAACTAGAAGAGAATGATAATCTCCTAGGTGTATGTATATCGCATGTATATGGTATCCCGTGCATTTAAGAGGAAATATTTACACAAAGCGCTTATGTCACCTAAACCTCTCTCTAGTATCAAATGCCCACACTATCAGGTGTCAGGCTGCCACCAAGAAGCACCCTTGCTTCCGAACGTAACGTGTGCCCCTGATAGTGGTTTCTGCCGTTCCCTCCACCATGTTTCTTGTTTATTTCTTTCCTACCCTTCATTCTCGCGGAGCCTGGGAAAGCTGCTGCTGTTTAGACTTTGTCTGTGTCTAAAGCAGGACATTTTAACACAAATTTGAGCAGGGCTGGGTAAAAAAATATTTTGACTGGCATTATTTTGACAAGGTCATCCGTCATCTGCTCTATAGATTGATAACACCTAAGTTAAAGGCAGACACGAATGGGGGGGGGGAGGGGAACCACGGGTTTTTATGGATTTTAAAGTTTCCTATGAAAACCTTCTGTATGGCTTTGGTCAAATCCCTTGTGCGACATACAATGAGTTTTCAGCCCTTCCGCCGCACTGCGCTTCTCTGCGAAGTTCCGCTTCCAGGGGTCCGTGTGCCAACGTTCGCACACCCGCGCTGCTGCGGACGCTGCGCTGTGAACGGGAGCGCTCTGTCCTCCCCGTCCTCACAGCGTTAGTAGAGCGTCTCGTCCTTGGCCAGCTCCTTCCTGGTCACAATTCTATTCCGCCCATTCCGTCTCTTTTAATTTTTTTATTTTTCTAACGTGCATCTCTGCGTTATTGCCATTTTCCTCACCGGACATCTTTTAAGAATACCGAATTGCGTTTAGTGGCAGCAATCTGTAAAAATTCGTTTCAAGCTAGAAAAACGTGATGAAGTGGGGGAAAGCTCCTACCTAATAGGCTTAAGTACATTGTCAATATCCGCACTTGGCTCGAGTTGTCCTAATAGGAGGACTTCAATCTCTTACAGTGTCAGTTTGTTGGGATTTTTTACAGTTGGAAAAGTTGCGCTTCGAGCGATCGAGGTGGCAGAATAACATTTACAGACCGCCCGGCACTCTGGGAGCCAGTAACAGGAGGAAAAAGGGAGAGACAAGCACAAAGCTAGCCTCCTCCTCCCGCCGGTCCTCGGGGCCGGCGGCTGCCGCAGCACCGGCAGCCGCTCCCGGTCACTCGGGCAGCGGCCGGCGGCCCCGTGAACCTCGTCGTTCGGGTTTGTCCCCTTAACCAAAGGCACCCTCGGGCCACGCCGGGGAGAGTGGCCGCGGGGCAGCGGCGGAGAGGCACGGAAAGAAGCCGGGAGGAGCGGAGCTGTGTATCTCATCAGCACAGGCACCGGCTCCTGCCCCGGCCTCTCCAGGGCACCGCTGCCCGCAGCCCCTTCACCCCTCGGGAAGAGCAGAGCTAGCAGGGGGCGAAGGGGGCTTAATGCCCCTCAACCTGCTCCTCCCCGGGATGGCTTCAGCCAGCCTGACCTCTGGTCACGCTTCCCCAGCCAGGGCGGGCTGTGCGCGCCCTTTTGTCTCCTCGCAGTTTGTCTGCTGCCCATTTGTTACTATTTATTTATTAATTTAAATTTAATTTTCCTCTTGGATGTGACTTCTGCATGCAAAGATGCAGGGAAGAAAAAAAATCCCACAAAAAAAAAAAAAAAAACAAACTGAAACAGCCCCCCCAAAAACCATCAAAAAAAGGAGACTTCAAGCAGTTTTTAACTCTGCCTCCTCCTGTTCTCAGGCTTTTTCATTATTTAGAGGACGAGCACTGAAACAAATCACATTGACCGTTTGGAAAGCGATCAAGCCTTTATAAAAATCCATTGCCTGCGAATCGATTGGTGAATATTTGCTAGGAATTTGTTCAAAAGAAATAAATAAGGAGGGTAAGTGTATTAAATGCAAAGGGGGAGCACGGTGGTGTTTTTCTTCATTGATTAATTACCTCTAAAATGAAACAAGCGGGAAGAGGAGCCAAGATCGATAAATTAACTACCCAAATTCATCATTTTCCCTGAGATTTTTTTTCCTTTGTTTCTTTCGTTGGTTTGTTTATTTGGTATTTTGTTTTATTTTGTTTTGGTTGGTTTTTTTTTTGTTTTTTTTTTTAATAACCCTCAGGAAGGATGCCCGTCTCTTTGGAAACTCGAATGTTTTACGCTGGGGGTAGAAAAGAGAGCTAAACACCTTCTAGGAAGGGTTTGTACCGGGGACACCCTATCTGATTTCGTTTGACACACAATTAAAAAGTTTGTCTTTCATATTAATTAATTCTCCTGATCTGGGCAAGACAAATGGTCGGTTACCTCTGACAGGAGTCCGATAAAGGATTCAGCAGCTTTCCTTCTTGCCCTAGGCGTCTCCTCATTCCAGTTTTAAGGTCATGAGCGGCCGAGTTAATAATTCATTAATACAGACATTTATTCATATGGGATTCAAAGGGATTCGCGCTCTCCTGCATGTCGCCTCTTGGAATTAGTATCCCTCTTAAGGCGAGAAGAGATGGAGGAGATGGGATGGAGGAAGGCGCTCCACCATGCACGGACCTCTTTGCACACACGTGGTTTAAACGTGGTACGGGCAGTGAGAACCGCGTCCTGCTCGGCAGAGCCCCGCACGGCCCATCCCCGGCCACTCCCGGGCAGCCTGGCGGCACTCGCCACCTCCCGAGAGCTTCCTGAACTGAAGCCAGGAGCTTCCCTCCCCCTTCGCCTTCCCCCAAAAGCGGCCGAGGCGCGGCAGGGGCGGGTAAAAACCGGACCAAAACTCCCCTTCCCGGGACCGCCCCTCGCTGACAGCGCGCCCTCTCCGTGACACCTCGGGAGCAAGGGGCGCGCTGCCGGTGAGGTGCCGTGGGGCGGTCGGGACAAGCCCCCAAGGCAAAGCGGGGCGGGCTCCGGAGGGACGGACGGGGCTGTCCCCCCCCACACACCGTGCGGGGCACTCCTCGGCTCTGCTGCCAGCTCAGTGCCGTGCGGGAGGGAGGCAGACCAAATGAAGCCGGTCCTGGTAGAGCCCGGTCTAGGGTGTCGGGTGAGGAATTAGAGGATCCCTAAAAGCAGGGACTGGGATCCTTCCCTGGGAGCAGGTGGTGAGACACAGGGTGCGGAGGTCTGCTGCAGGGCTCTGCTCTGAGGTGAGCATACGGCACCTGGCCACGTGGAGCTTGGCTGAGATTATTAAATGATCTGGCAGTGGCCACCAAGCAGATGCCAGGCAGATGCATAACGACTTTCTGCCACTATTGACCTGATACGGATGTGAACTAGTGACCCTTGAGGTGAAATGCTCTATAGTCTATTAACAATTCCCCAAGCCACCAAATCCCCCTCACAGACAGGTTCAAATATTTATGTCCATCAACAAAACAAACTCTGCTCCAAGCATGGCACACTGCGGATGGGACAAGAAAAGGAATTACTCGGTTGTAAAGACCAAGTGAAAATAAA